TGCTTTCTCATTTTCCCCCTCCCTCACCGCCCCCCCCAAATTAATTTTAGAACATTTTTTTTGTTGTTCACCTTGTGTTTTTTAAATTAATCATTTTATTGAGAGCTCTTACAGATATAACAATCCATAATTTAATTAGATAAAGTATAATTGTACAATTGCTACCACCATCAGTTACAAAGCATTTTCTGTCTTCTTGAACTCTTTGATATCAGCTCACCTTTAACCCCTCCCTCGCCCACCCTACCCCCAGGGACCCTTATTATTTCTTTATTAATTTATTTTTTGCCATATCTTAAACCATCCAATGTAACCGTTCACCTGCAATTCTGATACTCATTCCCCTCAAGTGGGGTTATACAGTCATCATTGTGATCGGCTCCCCCCTCTGAATGAGCTGCTCCGTGCAAGAATGCTGCCCTCAGGGATTGCTGCACCGGAATGAGGTCTACTCTCTCTCCCCTTTCCTGTGGATACATGAACAATACCCTCCCCTGGGGTGAATTAATACTCTGGTTCCCTGTTGTCGTCGTTTTTATTCCCCCGCTCCTCTGTGGGCCTTCAAGGCATACTGGGGGTGGGGTGGGGGATGTCTCTGCACAAGTGCTATCTGCATCTGGTGTTTTTTTTGATAGTATATACATCATTGGGTTCGGTCTGGCTCACGCTAGAATCTCTGGTCCTCAGCCCAGGACCTGTGCTCTTTCCCCTATGCCTGTTCTGCTGTTTGAACCTAACCTCAGTGGAGTCATATCGTACTTGTCCTTTTGTGCTTGGCTAGCTTCTCAGCATAAAATCCTCCAACTCTTTCCACTGACCAGGTGCTTCATCTTTTTATCACTATTTTTTAGGGATGTGTAGTATTACATTGTGTCTATGCCAGAGTTTTTATCCATTCATCTATTGATGGAAATTTAGGCGCAGCGAAGGACATCGGAGCGTAGATGTCTGGTTGTGATCTGTTTCTTATTTCTTTGGGTATATGCCCAGTAGTGGAATTGCAGGGTTGTAAGGTAACACCATAGCCATCTGTTTTAGGTATTGGCAAATTGCATTCTACCATGGCTGTACGTATCTACAAGACCACCATCAGTGAATGAGAGTACCTATCTCACCACATCCCCTCCATTTGTTGCTTTCAGCTTTTTAAAATTGGG